TATAACTTTTGAGACAGGATTTTGTTGTAGCTTTGGAGTTTGTTCTAAAACTAGCTTTTGTAGATCAGTCTGGCCTTGAACTCACAGAGGACTGCCCTCCTCTGCCACGAGAGTGCTGGGAGATTAAATGTCTAGCTAGATCTTACATCTTAAACTAACCCGTCTCTATTAATGCGTGTATAACCACATGGTCATGGCCTACCAGCAAGGTTTCATCCAGTGTCTATCTTCAACAGCTACATGTCTCACTGACTCCACCTACTTTTCCCCAGCATCCACATAGTTTTTCTGCCTAGAACTATGCTGCCCTATCACAGGCCAAAGCAGTTTCTTTCCAGGTTAGACTTCAAGTACTTACAGTGAGTATGTATGGAAGAGTTCTTTGTTCATGTACTTAATTTTATTTTAGCATTTGTTTGATTGTTTGTTTTTGCTGTTTTTTTTTTTTTTCATGACAGGGATTTTCAGGGAATCAGTCCTGGAACTCAGTAGACTAGACTAGCCTTGAACTCACAGAGATCCACCTGTCTCTCTGCCTCGCCAGTGTTGGGATTAAAGGTATGTACTTAATTTTAAAGAAATGCTTTGAGTTTCTCTCAATGTAGGTTGATGTTGGCTGTGAGCTTGATATAAATCACCTTTGTTATGTTGAGTTGTGTCCCTTGTATTTCTAGTCTCTCTAAAGCTTTTATCATAAAGTGTTGTATTTTGTCAAAGGCCCTTCTTTAATGAGATGATCACGTGGGATTTGTCTTTTAGTCTATGTGGCTAACTTTATTATTGATTTAAGTATGTTGAACCGTCCCTCTATATCTGGGACTAGGCTTACTTGGTCATAATGAATGATTTTTTTCTGGTACTCTTATATTTGCTTTGTAAATATTATATTGAGAATTTATATCTATGTATCCCTTGTCATGCTGAAAACCTATAATGCATTAATAGTTTAGTCTTAATAACCTGAATCTAGATTGCTGTATAGCCTTTATATAGGAAAAGTGACTACATACTGAGAGATAAAAAAAAGTCTAGTTTAGAATTTATGAAAAGCAAACAACAAAGACAGTGAATGAATTACTGGATAAAGAATGTAAAATATTTGATTTATAGAAGCCCAAATAAGCTTTAAAAAGACATAGAGAGAGCTGAGGAAATGATTCAGTCTGGAAAAACACTTGTCAGATTTGCCAACTTGAGTTCAATTCCCAGGACCGTCATGGTAGAACTCAAGAATTTGCTCATGTTACTCGTTCTCTGACTATGTGTCATGGCACATGTTTAAAGTGCATAGTTGTCTTTTTATTTAAGAAACAATCTTATTTTATATACCAATCCCAGTTCCCTCTCCCTCCTATTCTTCTATTCCCCTTACCTTTTTCCCCATCATCTACTAGTAATCTTTCTAAAATGAAGTATAATTTGGTATTTACTAGAATAACTTACAGGCTTTGGCCAGGCTAATCCTACAATGGCTGACTATAAATGGACGGTCCATAGCTTTTCAGTCTAGGAAGCTGGGTATCCCAGTTGGTCTTCAGTATATACTGGAATTCAAAAGAATTGGGCTCTAATTCCAGTGAAGGAACAGATTGCTAGTGAGGACCAGAGTAATCAGGCAAAGAACAAGGGTGACCAGGAAGAAGTCTGAGCACTCACTGTCAGAACATTAGTTAAGAATTCAAATAGTCAGTTCTTAAAGAAACCCAAATGAACAATAAAGATTTGAAAAATATTTGACAACCTTTCTCATTAGGGAAATGTAAATTAATCTTGCATTGAAATTCCACCTTGATTTGACCGGAATAGCTGTCATCAAGGGCATAAATGCTCATGAGGATGTGGGTAAAGAAAATCTTTTATTCACTGCTGGTAGGAACATAAACTTGTTCAGTTACTGTGTATGTTCCTCAAAAAACTTCCTTAAAATAAGGGTTTTGAGAGATGTCTTAACAGTTAACAAAAATCCACATCTTCTAATGCTGTGAATAATGTCACTGGAATTTGATAAGTATTATATTGCATTTACAGAACACTTTGGTAATATGTCTATTTTTTATAATGTTAATTCTCCTAATGTACACTTAATCTGTTACTAATTTATTTTTTCAAGTACTTTACTGTTTTGTCTACCTTCTAGTGTTTTGTGTACTTCACCATAGTTGTTTTTTTTTTGTATGCTTTTTTTTAGGTTCTTTATGCTTTGATGCAATTGTGAAAGTAGTTATTTTCCCCGATTTCTCTCTGTGTTCTTCTCATTGGTTCTAGTATATTCACTAATCATCATATGCATTTTTTTACTTTGTTGCTCTGCCAAAATTGTTTATCATAATCTTTCAAGAATCTTTATATTATTTTTAAGTATAGAATCTTATCATCTTTCAATAGATTTGTGTTTCTCCTGCCTGTATGTCACCTTTCTATTTCTTTTCTGTGCCCATCTACTTGGGTGAAGACTGTAGATGTTTTCTTGAGGAAGGGTGGGGAGAATAGATACTCAATGTACATTCTCAACTATAGAAGCAAAGGCTTTCAGATTGCCCTTGTTTAGTACTGTACTGGCTGTAGTGATGGCTTACATCCTTTATTATACTCACATGTACAAGATTCTTCTAATATGACTTCCTTTGGAGTTTTATTCTGAAGAGGGGTTGAATATTAAACACAGCATTCTTTATAACCACTGATAGGATTAGGTGAATTTTTCTTTTTTGATTCTATTTTGAACTCTTTCTTACAATTATTTGTAACAAGGAATTTTATAATTAAATAATCTCATAGTTATAATTTTTCTTCCCTGTAGTCTAGCCTATTCCATGACATATTTTCTTCATATCAGTGTTAAAATCACATTTTTTTTTGTTTGGTTTTTTTTGTTTTTCATAACAGGGTTTCTCTGTAGCTTTGGATCCTTCCTTGGAACTAGCTCTTGTAAACCAGGTTGGCCTCGAACTCATAGAGATCTGTCTGTCTGTGCCTCCTGAGTGCTGGGATTGAAGGTGTGTGCCACCAATGCCAGGCTTAAAATCACACTTTTTAATATTTGAAATTTTATTGTCTGTAAGCAGACACACACACACACACACATACTTATGAGCAATAGAGGAAGGTCAGCAGTAGCAAGTACCTGTTTTTTTTTCAGAGTACCTTAATTGGGTTCCCAGCAACTACAACTGTTTTTGACTTCAAGTCCAGAGTGTCTAATAATCTCTTCTGAGCCCTACCTGTGATGTAATAAATACATGCATGTAAAACAGTCATATACATAACATAAAATAAAATGCATATAACAAAAGACTTAATAATAATTACTTAAAATAAACAAGCATTCTAGGTATATTTGGCATATTGATCAGAATCAAGCCAGTTATTTCAGCTAAATTCACAAGTCAAATTTCTTTCTCTGAGAGAATACAGCATGCTCTGTCATTTTCTCTACTCTTCTTAGTGTTGTTCAAAGAAGATTTATTATAGTCTTCATTAAATATCAGAAAAAATGCATGGGATATTTTAGTCAGTTGCATAGGGGAATCATAACAGCTTTTTGATGTGGGAGTCCCCTTTGTGTGCTGTGATTGTAATTAAAGAATAAAGAAACTTCTTTGGTCTACAGCAAGGCAGAACTTGGCTAGGAAGGGAAAGCTAGGCTGAATGTTGGGAACAAGAAGGGAAGAGTAAGAGAGAAGCCATAGAGCTGCTTCCAGACTCAGACATGCCGAAATTTTGCCAGTAAGCCACTGCCACGTAACAATTAACAGATTAATGGAGATGGTTTAAATTAATATGTAAGAGTTAGCCTTTAAGAATCTAGAGATAATGGTCCAAGCAGTGATTTAAATAATATACTTTTTGTGTGACTGTTTTTGGCATAAACTAGGCAGGCACCCAGGAACCAATGAACAGCCTCTTCTCCAACAAATTGACATCAATGTGGTAGGCTAAAATCATGTAAAACCTGAGAAAGCATGAAAAGGAATTCTAGGCACTAAAAAACATATATAGCCACTATTTTGTTTTTCCAAATGGGCTTTGCTTGGGGTAGCATGCTGTGGCTCACTTAAAAAAGGCCTTACTGACTTAGCAGTCGCAGCTGTGTGGTTTCAAAACAGCAGCTATCTGGCTTTGGGTCATTATGCTAGCATGAATTCTGATTCTTTTGGTAACCTGAGCATTTGGATGAGGTTTGTGAGCAGCATGCTGTGGCTTGCTTGGTGGCAACATGGATGAGCTGTGTTCCTGGAAGTATGACAATGTGCATGGCAGAAGAGACTCTGCCATGCTGTACTGGGTAGGGCAAGCAGAAAGTACCATACACAACCACACAACCTAGTAATGGCACAGCTTAATTTTACAAAGCACTTAGCATTTTAAAAAGCACTCCTGGACAGTAAAGAAAAAGAATTACAGATATGCAATAATGACCAATCCAGATGGAAAAGAACTCTAAATATGTCACAGTGTTGGATGAATGTATGTAGGTTTGGGAGAGAGAGAGAAAAAAGTATAGAGAGTCATAAAATAAAGTTAATGCTTTTTAAAAATAACGGTGAAGTCTTTAAAGGGACAAAGTACAGATAGTCATAGATTAAAAGAAGTAAAGAAAAAAGCTATGTAAAAATGGAAAATTCAAAGAAGGTCTGGATTATGTATATTATTGTATTTACTTTGAATTTTTGACTTTGAATGAGGTAAGTACAGAGAGACATTTCATTATATGGGCTGCTAAACTAAACCAGCATGTATATTATAAAGGTATCATGATTTCCAAATTTGGGTCTAAGGATATGTTTCTTTGAAAAAGACGTTCTTCACTTGTTTTTGCATGTGGATGAGAACCTATGGATTGCTTCCAAACTGGTATGGTTTGATGGAACAAGACCCCCCAAGGTCACTGTGAACACCCCTAAAATTTGCTATGCCCCAAAATCAGCAAGAATCAGTATGGAGAAAACTATGCCCATATTCCCAAATATTGTCTATAAATGTTTATATTTAAAAGGAGGATATTATATAAGAATAATTTGCATTTGTATGGACCTTGGTTTATTGATACAAATTTAAGGTCAATTTTGTTATATGTGTGTGTGTATTTATGATCTTGATTAAGGTATTGTGTTTGTGTAGCTCATTTAAAATGTAATGGATAATTAAAAATATAAGTTAATAGATAATCATCATAATAGTCAAGCTTGTAATCATGTTAGTTAGCTTGTCTAGATGTATAGAGATATATTTCAGTAAGAGAGGTATTTTTCAAATCTTTCAGACACCTTCAGAATATGGCATTTAAAATGTTTTAGTAACTTAGTAATTTTCATGACAATGAGACATATCTTCTCCTGGCAGTACAACTACTTCAAGAGGAAGATGGGAATCAAAGAAGCTCCTTATTGAGTTGGTTAGCCATTTGGGCAAGAAACTGCTCTTGCCTGAACTGTTTGATGAGCTGGACATGCAGAACCTGCAGAGAAATGACTGCTGATCTTGCCTAAAGTTGAGACCATCCTCTGGAGTTCCTGCTACATGAAGGAGTCTCCTAGATGTTCTGCAAGACACAGAAGAAAGTGACTGTCAAACTGCCGATATAGGTGGAACTACTTTTGAAATTTCCTTCTTTGTGGAAAAGTTCTGGACACTATGGGCCTGTAGGCTGAAGATGGCTGCCCTAATTGTACAGAAGAACTTTGGGTGACTATCCAGGCAGCAAGATGCCTCTATCAGTTCTAGAACTTTGAAAGTTGCTTACAGTGCACTTCCTCCTTACTTCAGTAATATTATATCCTTCTGGAGTCTTTGATGGAGTTGAAGAATAGAAAGATATAGTTTTCCTAAGTTATGATAAAAGATAAATTAGATATAAGTATTATAACTATAATTCTTACTTGATGCCTGTTTTATTATTTGTAATTTTACTATGTTAAAGTTAAAGCTTTCATTTTTATTTAAACAGAGAATGGGAGGTGATGTGGGAGTCCCTTCTGTGTTCTGTGATTACCATTAATGAATAAAGAAGTTGCTTTGGACCTATAGCAAGGCAGAACTTAGCTATGCCAGGAAAGCAAGGCTGAATGCTTAGAGAAAGTAGGGCAGAGTCAGAGAGAAGCCATAGAGCTGCCTCCAGAATCAGATATGCCAAAACTTTGCCAGTAAACCATTTGATGTGATGATTCACATATTAATGCAGATGAGTTAAATTAATATGTAAGATTTAGCCATTAAGAAGCTAGAGTTAATTGACCAAGCAGTGATTTAAGTAGCCCCTTCTCCAACAGCTCTTAATTTTAAAATCACTTATTTCTAGCAAGAAGGAAAATTTTTTGCTTTCAGCAATATATCTATTTATATATAAATATAAAATATAAGCAACCTGTCAAAGATATTGCTTATGTTTAGTAGTTTATTGTAGGTTTTGCATTTGTCTGAGGCTTCCACTCTTCTTGTACACAATTATACACACTTTGAAACAACCTTGTGACATGCTGTTAACAAAACATACGAATGGATTCAAAATACTAAGAAACACTAAACTTCTTGATATTACAAGTGTGTGGAGCCAGGGTCATGAAGAAGAGATTTCAGATGATATGTGACTCTGAGAATCAGGTGTCATGTACAAGAGAAGCTGTGTAACTTAAAGTGCAAGGCCTCTTGCCCCAGAGGTCCATGTGTAAGGTTTAAAGGGGCAGGATAAAGAGGGAAGACTTGTCTTCCAGGGGCACAGCTGTTAATGGAGATAATTTTGAATTGGTACAAACAGGAACATCTGCCACCCGAGGAGTGTCACTGAAAAGGAAGGTGGGAAAGTTAGGCTCTGATGGGAGCAAACACACCACACAACTGAACATTAGCAACTGACCCATAGCAGCAAAACCCCAAAATTAATTGTGACAAATTACAAATGAATGCAAATTAGTAGGAAATTCTCTTCCAAACTCTGCTAATTAAGATTTGATTTTTAAATAACCCTAATTGAATTTTTTTATTTTTCTCTGTTCAAGCACAAATGAGTACAACTTTCGACAATGGCAGAAAATTTGGTGGAGTAGTTATTTTGCATTTGCTGTGTTTTCATGGTTTACACTTTTACCACTTCTGTGCTTTCCACCTAGGTTACCTGGTGAGTATAAAAATATTTAATTATTTAGAGTCATTCTTTCTCTTGGCTCCCATTGTCAAAGCATAGATAAACTACATTTACTTATGAATATGTTGCTCCTACTAGTGTTGCTCTGTAATAAACAAATAATATCATAGTGTTTTTAACCAACTCAATCAGTATCACATTCAAATATTTTGTGTGCTACATTTTCACAATTATATATTTTTAATACTCATTATTTCCTTTTTGACACCCTTTATATTTTAACTGTGCAATTTTTTTAAAAAAGTGAAGTATACATGAATCTATTTACCTAGTGTTTCAGTCAGCATTCTCTAGAATAACAGAACTTATAGAATGAATCTCTCTTTCTTGATACATACATGTACACACACACATACTCCCATACACACAATATGCCATAAATATGTATGTTAGGATTGTGTCATTAAACATCAGTTATTGAATGTGGCTATTGAATTCTACATTAAGTTAAGAATTAATTAATTCAGCCATAGGAAACACATTTCTAGCAGTTAAAAGGCAGATATAGTGGTCGACTGCATAATTGGGCAGTGCAGATGTAAGAATCTTTTTTTTATTGTCTTTTATAACCAAGAAATTGTCTTTTGTGAAGCACTACTATAAAAGAATTTGCATTCGAAAATATGTGTTGGTCTTAGTTCGTTTAAAATAATTCACGTTTCTTTCCATGAAAAATTGGGATTATTGTAACATATACAAATGCATTGTGTATATTTTCTTTTGGACTTGGACATATCAAAAGATTGTTTTTCTTGTGATCTATAGGTGCAAACAAGCTAGTGCTTGAGAAAGAAAAGGAACATCCCTCCTTTGTCAAGAGACTTAAAGATAAGGAATTTGGATCTGGTTTCAAGGATTTACTTCAGGCTACTAAGGTAAAGTAAAATGCTTTTGTTAACAAGCCTGTTGAGTTGACTTCTTTAATTTTCTTATAGAGTTAAGGAAATGGCAAAGTCTTTCATTTAAATTCATGTGAAAGTTTCAGAGCCTCTTAATTAAATTTCTCATTTTCTTTGTAATGGAAAGGAAGACCCCCTCCCCTTTTTTTATCTGGCATTGGTAGGGACCTGTCTAGTGCTGGAGACTGATAGTTTTAATTGATTTTATATTATTTTGTGTTATTCCCTTTGAAGAAATAAATAAGATATTTTAAGAAAGGTCATGAATTGGAAGAATTCTGTTGTCAATACATATCTCCCACATACAAAAAGTCTCATTACCGAATACAAAATCATCCATTTCTATAGATTTCAAATAGGACAACTAATAACACATATCAGGATGCAGAGGAAGCCCCTTCTAACACTGTAACTTTATTGTCAATGTTTTTATTCTATTTATAACATTCTTTCTGGCATATAGATTGTATGGTTGAAATTTTTATGCACAGATGTCTTCCATTTTTAGTGAATTTTACACTCTGAATAAAACTTCCAAAAGGCTTCAAAATAACATTAACTGAATTTTTCTAACTCACATTACAGTTGCATCTATGCATTCCCAGTTTCCCATAGTTTTCTCTTTTCTGGAGATATTTGTTGTTTCCCTGCTCATTGTTCTACTCAAAATATTCTATTCCTTTTAAAAAATATTTTTATTTTAAAACTAAAACATAACATGGCCTTTTCCTCTTTCACTTTCTTCCCTCCTTCCATTTCTCTGTACCCCCATATTACTTGATCTTTATCAACGGTGGAGAAGCACACACCTAAGAGCAAAGGAAATAGCCGACTAGGGAAGAGGTTCGTATTCCTTTTAAAGTAATTATTAGCTATTTGTTTCATCCCTACTCCTTCCCCTACACATAATCCCTCTGAGTTTATGAATTGTAGCTTTTTTGTTATTTATTTAATGGACAATATCTACATATAAGCAGATACAAACCATATTTATCTTTTGGGGTTTGGGCTACCTCGCTCAGGATTTTTTTTTCTAGTTCCATTCACTGTCTGCAATTTTTATGATGTCATTGCTTTTAACAGCTGAGCAATACTCCCTTGTGTAAAATGTATCACATATCTTCATCCATCCTTCTTTTGAGCAATATCTGTTATTCTTTGTTACTGGCTATTATGAATGTAGCTTCAATGAACATGGTTGAGCAAGTGTCCTGTGGTAGGAAAAATCATCCTTTGGATATGTGTCCAACAGTGGTATAGCTAGATCTTGAGATAAATATATTCCCTCTTTTCTGAGGAATAACCATATCAATTTTCTTTTCATTTTATTGGACCTCACAAGCCCATTTTTGCATGCAGTCATGGATAGACTATTTTTTATTGATATTTATTGAGCTTTATATTTTTCTCTGCTCCCCTTCCTGCCTCTATGCTTCCTCTTCAACACTCCCCCAAGGTCCCTATGCTCCCAGTTTACTCAAGAGATCTTGTCTTTTTCTACTTTCTACTTCTCATGTAGATTAGATCTATATAAGTTTCTCTTAGTGTCATCGTTGTTGTTTAAGTTTTCTGGGATTGTGGTTTGTAGGCTGGCTTTCTTTGCTTTATGTTCAAAAACATAAAGTGAGAACATGTGATAATTGTCTTTCTGTGTCTGGGTTACCTCACTCAAAATAATGTTTTCTATCTCCATCCATTTTTCTGCAAAATTCAAGATGTTATTTTTTTTCTGCTGTGTAGTACTCCATTGTGTGTCTCACATTTTCATTGTCCATTCTTTGGATAAGGGGCATTTAGGTTGTTTCCAGGTTCTGGCTATGACAAACAACGCTGTTATGAACATAGTTGAGTACATATCCTTGTGGCACAATTGAGCATTCTTTGGACATATACTGAAAAGTTGTATTACTTTTGAAGAGGGTTGTTTCCTATTTTCTGAGAATCCACCACACTAACAT